TATTTTTTCTTGCCATAATGTTTATAATTGTTACTCTGATCATAGGAGTCATTGTGTTTGTGACAAAAAACAAACTCTCCATGGGGCAAGTTGGTAATGATATATTGAAATCTGATCTGGCTCACAAGTCCCAAATTCCAGTTTCTCTTAGTTCTATTGCCACATCCACTCCTAAAGAAACCTCTCCTAAAACCCCCTCTGTTTCCCCACTACTATGACTCCCTCTCTTATTGCTGACATTCTTTTTACTACAGGGGTCTTACGAAGAGATTGGAAGGACAGACTTTAGATGTAAGAAATAGTGGAAAATGGAAAATAGAAAGAATGTTAAGACAGGTAAATGGATTAAGGAGACAAGTTACTCAATATTTCTCAAAGTGCTGTAAATATCTCCTGCTCATGGACTATGAACCTAAATGACATTTAGTTAAAATGAATAGAGGTAAAGTAAAATAGAGAGCTAATAGCAAACTATATTAACCATTGTGCAGTTTCTCAAGGGCCAGCTGGCGACCACAAGTTTGACACTTAGTTGATTAAATCTTGCTTGTACCCCCGCTGATATAAAGATTTTGATTAAGTTACTTTCTGTTCTGTTTAGGTGTGGGTAAATAAGGGGACAACTGTAATTTTAAAATATGTATTCATGATGTTCAATGAAATGAAACAGCATAGAGGAATTGTACTTTGTTTAGCGAAAAATAACCTTTACTTCAATAGAAATTGCTAAGGCAACTTAAAATGTAAACACGTTCCGCCCAATGCCTCCCAGCTATTGCTTAACGATATAAAAATAAATCAGACCCTGAGACTTCTCAGTGGGAACCTGAACATTGCTTGTGAAGGTTCTTTTCTCATCGCCGGCCCAGGACATCTCCCCTTCCTACCCTACATCGACTGCACATCGACTGCAGCTGGTCTGCGGCAGGTGGGAAAGTAACTTAGTGAATAATTATGGAAAATAGCATGGAGGTCCTCAAAACACTAAGAATAAATCTTCCCCTATGATTTACCTATCCCATTTCTTTGTATATATCCCCAAAAAATGAAATCAGCATACCAAAGAGACAGTTTTACAATAGCTAAGATGGAATCAGCCTAGATGTCTATCAACAATGAATGGATAAAGAAAATATCATGTATATATACATGATAGAGCACTACTCCTCTGTAAAGAACGAAATACTATCCCTTGCAAGAAACAGTTGGAAGACATTATTGAAGTGAAATAAACCAGACATACAAAGCTATTGGAATCTGCCTAGGCACTCATCAGAGGATGAATGTTATACAGACACAATGGAATATTATTCGGCCATAAAATAGATTGGAATCCTGCCATATGCAGCAAAATGGATAGAACTGGAGATTGTGGTCTTAAGTGAAATAAGCCAGACACAAGGAAAGTATCCCATGTTATCTTTTATATATGGAAGGGGGTTTTTTTTGGTACTGGGGATCGAACTCCGGTCCTTGTGCTTGCTGGGCAGGCGGCAGAACCACTGCTCTAAATCCCTGGCGGCTATATATGGAAGTTTTTTAAAAGTTCATTTGAGAGCCAGGAATTTAGCTCAGTGGCACCGTGCCTGCTTCACAAGCACAAGATTCTGAGTTCGATCCCTGGTACCAAAAACCAAACAAATAAAAATAGGGGCTGGGGATGTAGCTCAGTAGCGCCACACCTGCCTGACAAGCACAATGTCCTGAGTTCGACCCCTGGTTCCAGAAAACAAAACAAAAAAAAAGTTCACTTGAATGTAGAATAGCGAATAGTGATTACTGGAGGTTGGAAAGTGTGAGGTGGGGGAGGAAGGGAGAATACAGGGAGGTTGGATTTGATCAGTGCATGCTGCATGCATGTATTGAAATATCACACTGACTCCCATTAATATGTATAATAAATACATGTTTATCAAAATCTGAAGAAATGTGAAATTTAAAATTCATATAAAAAACTGCTGATACAAAGCAAGGGTAAAGGAAACGAGTAGAACAGTTGTTTTGTGTGTTTTTAGACAGGGTCTCACTAAGTTACTAAATTCCCCAGACTATAATCAAATTTGTGATCCTCCTACTTCTGCCTCCCACTCTACTAGGATTACAGGTGTGTGCCGCCCACCCAACTAAAACACGTAGCTACACAGGCTGGGGAGTTAGCTCAGTGCCACATGCCTGTCTGGCATGCACAAGGTCCTGAGTTCGATCCCCAGTACCCCCACAAAATGGAGCTACATAATTTTAATAAAGAATCTTTTTAGTTTTTATCTTTCTATTAGTACACATTTGCAGTACATAATATATACATTCCTTGTGGGGAGTTGGTAATGTACACAGCACATCTTAATTCTTTTTTTCATCCCCTTCCCCCTCCTTCTCTCCTTCTCCTCTGGATCCCCTTCCCATTTGAGAAAGACCTATCTCACTGCTTCTGATTATCATCTTTTATTTTCCCTTTATATATATTTTGGTGTTCTTATATAAGAGAAACCGTGTGATATTTAAGCTTGTGTGTTTATTTCACTTAACATATGGTCTCAAGGTGCATCCATTTTACTACAAATAACTCAAGTTTATCCTTCTTTATGGCAGAGTGGTACTCAAATTGATCTATATTGTAAATTGAATACCCTGTTAGGACTAAAAAGCCATTCTATTAAATCATAATGTCACTCCCCTGCAACTGTGGATTAGGCACTGGCAAGTCAGAGGCTAACAGTGTAAAAACTGTAAATAATTTTTAGATAAACAATAGAAGTACTCTGAGGGTCTTCGTAAGTATGGATCTTCTAAATAGGAGCAAATAATTTAATTTTGGATATTGCCGAGTTGAAAAGACTCACGGGAATGATTTTTGATCTGCACCACGTTGGACTACTTGCTATTTGTTACAGTGTAACTTACACTTCCCTCAGGGATGGAGATGTAACTCAGAGACAAAAGCACTTGCCTAGCATTCACTTGGCCCTAGGTACCATTCCCAGTACAACAAAAAGTAAAACACAAGCCCTGGGATGTCCTCCCAAGTGCACATGTGTTGAGAGCCCTGTTCTCAGCTGATGGCTCTATTAGGAATCATGCAAACTCGGGGAGGTGAGGCCGAGTTGAGGAAGCAGGTCACTGGACATGCACCCTAGACTATCTTGTCCCGGGTTTCTCTCTCCCCTCTTCTTTCTTCTTTTCTCCTCCCTTCCCCCTGCCTTCTCTCTCTCTTTCCCTCTCTCCCTCTCCCCCTCTCCTCTCCTTTCCCCCTTTTCCCCTCATACACCCTCCTGACCACCAAAAGATGACAACTTTTCTCTACTACACACGCCCAGCCACCATAGTGTCCTCACTCACCACAAGCTTAAGAGCAATCAGGCCAAACAACCATGGACTGAAAATAGGAGCCAGAATAAACCTTTCCTCCTTTAAGTTATTTTCTCTTAGGCATTTTGTCATAGCAATGGAAACCTAATACAGTATTTAAGCCTTATAGTACTTTACTGGGAAATGTCATCTTAATCATTGGTCCCTCATAGCAACAGTCTTTCAAATGAAAAAGGAACTAACACGGCCTCCATACAGTTACCATTTTAACCACCGAGTGTACACTTCTACAGCGTTAAGTATATTCACATTGTTGTTGTGCAAACATTATACCACCGTCCTCTATATTTTCATCTTCCAATCTGAAACTCTACAGGCAGTCAGATGTCCACATTAGTTTCATAATTAGAAAATAAAGGTATTACATGCCTGTAATATCAATACTCAGAGGCTGAGGCAGGAGGATTCCAAGTCTGAGCCCAGTCTAGAATACATACAGAGTTCAAAGTCAGCCTGGACTACATAGCTAGATCTTGTCTCAAAAAATCCAAAAGAGGCCAGGGATTTGGCTTAGTGGTTCTGCCGCTTGCCTCGCAAGTGCAAAGACCTGAGTTCGATCCCTGGTACCAAAAAAAAAAAAAATCCAAAAAGAAAAAAATCAACTTTTTTTTTTGGTACCAGAGATCGAACTCAGGACCTTGCATTTGCAAGGCAAGCGGTGGAACCACTGAGCTAAATCCCTGGCCCAAAATTCATTTTTTAAACTAGAAAGTCATTTAGAAAATACAGACTTACCATAATCACTTTTTTGTTATATTATGTGACTTTTTAAGACCATGCCCCAATTCTTACACATTTTTACAGGGTTATTATCACACATATACAAAAAGTAGTCTTGTGATTTTTTTTTTTTGGTACCGGCAATCGAACTCGGGTCCTTGCGCTTAGAAGTGATTTTTATACTTAATATTCCAAATTGTGAATATCCAAAATGAGTTTTAAGTTCCGTAACTTTTACTAATATGTAACTCAGTGTAGTATTAAGGACAGTCATGTGCTATTCAGGCTCATGTGTACAGTGAGACACTTCACTTATGAGAACACTTCGTTACTTTCTGATCATCTGCATCCAAGTCATATGCTGAGCAGTCAGTAAGTTCCCGGCACTGTTTTTCTCATATGTGCTAACTTATTTACCCTTTCTGGTCACCCTCTAAGTAGCTCCTATAATCACTTCCATTTTAAAGGTTAATAAACTGAGTGTGTGATGTCTTAAGTAACTTTCCAGTATTACACCACTGATAAATAACAAAGGCAGGTTTCAAACCTGAGTAACCTGGCTCTGAAGGCCATGCTCTGAATCATCATGTTTTATTATTTCTCAAATACATGTGAGCTCCTGTACTTATAAAATGATGAGTACTTTTTCTTTTTTGAAAAATGCCCACAAAGTGATGCTATGAATACTATGTCTGAATTTGAGACTATCAGAAGCCCAGAGTTATTTATCTCCCAAGGAGCAAAGATAAGATATCAGTTTTTGTGATTTTGTTTTTGGTAGTACTAGGTTAGAATCCAGGACCTCACTACACATGCAAGGCAACCATTCTACCGTGAGTGATATCTTCATCCCAAAATTTATTCCTGGTACTGATGGTTAAGGCATTAAGAACTGAAAGAGTACTATTTATTACCTTTCAACAACTTGTTTATGGACACTTTTCCACTGTTCTTTGTCTGAGTCAGTTCCTAATTCAGGGTTCAGAGATTTTAGAGGAACACCAGCAACATTCACCCCACTCCATAAAGCCACTAAAAAAGTATACATACATATTTAATGTATATATAATATATTATTCTTATTTTATATATTTATGTTATACACATTGTTTTATATATTATTATTTTAATATACTATAATATACATTTATATTATTGTACATATTTATATATAATGTGGTATATATATATCAGAATAAGCTCTTCTTGCTAATACTGCATCAGCTATTTTAGTTCAGTGTCAGACCGGGGATTTAGCTCAATGGTTTTGCTGCCTGCTTCGCAAGCCCAAGGTCCCAAGTTCGATCTACAGTACCAAAAAAAAAAAAAAAAAGTTTGAGTTCAGTGTCATGCAGTGAAACTAGCAAACATGTTGTGGTGATAGTTATACAACTCTGCAAATACAATCAATGAATTGTGCACTTTAAATGAGTGAATTCTATGATATACTGATAATATCTTTAAAAAGCTCAAGAAAGTCACAATACTACCTGGGTGTGGTTGCACACAGCAATAATTCCAGCATTCAGGAGGCTGAGACAGGAGGATTCCCATGAGTTCAAGGTCTGCCTGGGTTACACAGTGAGTTCAAGGCCAACCAAAAAAAAAAAAAGAGAGAAAGAAAGAAAAAAGCCAATACTGTAAAGTACAAAGTGCTCTCTCTAGAGAAGTGAAACATTCAGATTGATTTGTTTTGTTTTTCTAGATCCTAGCCAGGCATGATGGTGCACACCTGTAATCCCTGCACTCAGGAGTCTGAGGGAGAAGGATCATCTTGAGTTTGAGGCCAGCCTGGGCTACATTGTGAGTTCAAGGCCAGCCTGGACTACATAGTGAGGCCCTGTCTCAAAATACAAAAAAAAAGGGCAAAATATTTGAACAAATATTTCTGAAAAGAAGATATGTAAATGACCAACAGGTATATGAAAACATGCTCAATATCGCTGATCAGAGAAATACAAATCATAACCACAATGAGGAATGATCTCTCATGAGTCAGAATGAATGGCTATTATCAAAAAGACAAGGGCCGGGGATTTAGCTCAGTGGTTCTGCCACTTACCTCACAAGTGCAAGGTCCCGAGTTCAATCCCTGGTACCAAAAAAAGACAAAAAAGAGCCAGGAATTTGGCTCAGTGGCATCACACCTGCCTGGCAAGCACAAGGTCCTGAGTTCAATCCCTGGTACCGACAAAAAAGACAAAAAAGGGCCAAGGATTTGGCTCAGCAGCACCATGCCTGCCTCAGAAGCATAAGGTCCTGAGTTTGATCCCCAGTACCAAAAAAAAAAAAAAAAGACAAAAAAAACCGCCCTAAATACTGCTAAGGCTATAGAGAAAGGGGAACTCTTATGCCCTAATGGTAAAAATGTAAATTAGTACCATCATATAGAAAACAGTATGGAAATGCCCCCAAAACTAAAATTATTTTTTTAAAAATCTGTAATTAGAATTAACATACAATCCAGCAATCCTACTACTGTGCATATAATAACCAAAGGAAATGAAAATGGTATATTGAAGAGATATTGGCATACCTATGCACAATAGCCAAGATTTCACATCAACCTAAATATCCAACAACAAATGAATGGATAAAGAAAATACAATAGGCTGAATGTGGTAGTGTACACCAGTAATCCTAGCATGCTGGGAATCTGAGGCAGGTAATGCTAGTTATCCTGATTTGATCATTACAGAATGTACACAGCTGTGGGGTGGCTCATCACACTGTACCTCTTAAATATGCATAATTATGTGTCAGTTAAAATTATTTTAAAACAAAGGAAGAAAAAAAGATATGCCAGGGAAATGGCAATAAAATAAACCATATAAATATATATTAATCTCAGAAAATATATTCTAAAGAAAATAAGTATTAATAAAAATAGGTAGTAGAGCTGGGGATTTAGCTCAGTGGTGCCCCTGCCTGCCTCACAAGCACAAGGTCCTGAGTTTGATCCCCTGTATCAAAAAAAAAAAAGAGGTAGTTATCCACTAATAGTAGGTTTATACTTACCACTAGAATCACCATGTTCTCCAATAATCCAACCATGGCAGCTTGTAGGATGGACACCCAACTTCTCTCCAATTAGGTAACGGAAACGGGCAGAGTCTAGATTACAACCACTCCCAATTACAGGAGTGGCAGGTAAGCCGCTTATCTTCCAGACCACATATGTCAAAATATCCACTGGGAAAAAAAGTCATGTTAGAAAAAAATTCATGCAACTTCTTTTTATAATTTGCTTTTCTAATAGGTAGATGAAATGTTTTGGAGTCAAATACAGGCTTACTCCAAAGTACAGCAAATCAACCAAGAAATACAGATAATCCGTTATATATTTATTAAAATGCTAAATTATTCATTACCAGAGTTTTAAAGGAAAAAAATCTTTTGAGATACAACATGTGCCCATCTGTATATCTAATAATCAAGTTTACCTCCTTAATTAATCTCCTAGACTCCATTAACACATCCTTATCTAAGCCATCAGCATCTGTTACCTAGAATAATGCCATGGGCATGCCCAGGGCTATGTGCAGGTGTGTACTGCTCAAGAAAAATAGGACACAGCCCTAGGCTTAGTTCTGTCTGGTCCTGAGGTGCTCACGAAGCAGGAAGCGATGGCTAAGACACAGCTGTAAACTACCTAGTGAGTGTTGAAGACACGCCCTGGCAGCATACACGCAGCTCTCCACCAATAATGGGGAACTAGGCTTTGGTACCAGGCATTGAAGGAAAGTTCTGTCTGAACATTAGCTGACCAGTACACATCTTCCAGGAGAAAAACTTCTGTTGTATGCAACAAAAAACAAAGACTCTACAGAATTACTTCATAAAAGCCATGAAACAAACAAGCAAACCTTGGGTAGAGGGAGAATTTGATTTACTGAGCTTTCATATAATTTTCAGAATGTCTAGTTTTCAACAGAAAATTATGAGCCCCATGAAGAAATAAAGTATGATGCAGGGTCGGGGATTTAGCTCAGCGGTTCCACCACCTGCTGCAAAAGCACAAGGACCTGAGTTCGATCCCTGGTACCAAATACAAAAACCAAACAAAAAAAAGAAAGTATGATGCATAAATAGGGAGAGGGCATTCAGTACAAACTGTCCCTGAGTAAGTCCAGACAGAGATTTACTAGACAAATACTTTAAGTCAATTATTTAAACTATGTTTAAAGAGCTAAAGGAATGCATGTTTAACAATCTAAAGGCAATAATACAAGAATGTCTCACCAAATATAGGATATCAATAAATAGGAATTATAAAAAGAAAGAGGAACAAATGAAAATTCACTAGAATGGCTCAACAGCAGATTAAGAAGTCCATGAGTCAAAAGAATCGCTCACTTAAAAGATGAGTAACATCAATCCCCTGTACCAAAAAAAAAGATGAGTAAACCAGGGGCTGGGGATTTAGCTCAGTGGTGCCACACTAGCCTCACAAGTGCAAGGTCCTGAGTTCAATCCCCAGCCCCCCCCCAAAAAATATATGAGTCAACTGAAAATTTCCAGTCTGAGAAACAAAACAAAAAAGAGCTATAGTTGTACAACACTATGAACATCCTATGTACCACTGAATTGTACACTTGAATTAACTGTATGTTACATGAATTTCACTTTGAGGTTTTTGGGGTTTTTTTTTTTGGTACCAGAGATCGAACTCGGGACCTTGGGCTTGCGAGGCAGGCACCGGAACCACTGAGCTAAATCCCCGGCTTCACTTTGATTTTTAAAAATGAAAGAGCTTAGGGGATTTCTTGGACACTAGCAAGAGAACCAGTACACATTATCTGGCAAAACTATCCTTCAAAAATGGAGGAGCTGGGCCAGGGATCTAGCTCAGTGGCACTGTGCCTGCCTTGCAAGTGCAAGATCCTGAGTTCGATCCCTTGATACCAAAAAAAAAAAAAAAAAAAAATAGAGGGGCTGTGGGGTGGCTCCATGTTAGAGAGCTTGCTCAGCATGCACAAGACCCTGAGTTCTATCCCAGGAGGAGGAGGAGGAGTACATGGGGGAGGAGAAAGGAGGAGGAGGAGCTGAGGCTAAAACTCGAAGAACTGATAATGCCAAATGCTGGCAAGGATGTGATGCAACCAGAACTCTCAACAGGGCAGGGGATTTAGCTCAGTGGTTCCGGCCCCTGCCTCACAATTGCAAGGTCCTGAGTTTGATCCCTGGTACCAAAAAATAAATAAATAAATAAAAAGATACAACAACTTTGAAAAAGTCACTGCTGGTTTCTAATAGAGTTTAAACACACACTTACCATATAAGCCATCCTAGGTTTTTACGCAAAAGCAATGAAGTCATACAATTATGTAAAGATTCATATATAAACAGTCATATCAGTGCATAATACCCTCAAACTGGAAATAGCTCAAATATCTACCAACACGTGAACAGAGTACTTAAAATATATAAATACAAGAATATTCTTCAAGCCAGGTGTGATGATGCAGCACTCAGGAGGCTGAAATAGGACGATAGTGAATGTAGGCCAGACTGGACTACACAGCAAGATCCAGTCTCAAAAAGATGGGGGGTAGGAGGAGAAGGAAAAGAAAAAGAGGAGGAAGAGGGGGAAGACCGCCTGCCTTGCAAGCTCAAGGTCCTGAGTTCTATCCTCAATACCAAAAAAAAAAAAAAAGAAAGAAAGAAAGAAATAAGTTGGGCGTGGTGGCACATGCCTGTAATCCCAGCACTGAGGAGGCTGAGGCAGGAGGATTGCTGCAACATTTATGTATAGTGAATTCAACGACAGCCTGAACATATAGTGAGACCATGTCTCAAAAAAACCCACAAAAAAACCTAAAAATAAAAAGGAACTCGTCACCAATATAGTACCCAACAACATGAATTATTTCCAAAATAATTGTGTTGGGTGAAGAGAGCCAGATAGAAAAGATTTTTTCACTGTGATTCCTCTTATATGAAGGTCCAGAAAATGAGGCCAGAGTTGGAATGAGAGATGAACCGGAAAGGAACCAAAGGAAACTCTCAGAGGTAAGTGGAATGTTCTGTACCTTGATTATGGTGGTGGTAAAGTGATTATATTTATCAATAGTGTTTCCACTGTTTCTTTGAATTAGTACACTTTATTATACATAAAATGTTACCTCAATGAAGTTTAACAAGAGGAGGAGAGATATGGAGAAATTATCCTTATGTGATAAAAGGGAGGAGAAAAAGACTCACCTGGATTTGAAACAATAAGCATTGTGCAGTCAGGACTACGATGGGCTATGGGAGGGATGATGGATTTCATGATATTCACATTATGTTGGACCAGGGCAAGGCGACTTTCTCCCTCCTGCTGCCTTGCACCTGCTGTGACCATAACTAATTTGGAATTTGCAGATATCTTGTAATCTAAAAAGGAAACTAGACAGTGTTTGGATCAAGGTTGCTACAGTCATTGTGTCTTAACTCTTTAAAAATTTGTCGTATCTGATTGGTATCAGAGTGCTAATCTACCTTTATGTCTGGCATTTGCAGACTGACAGACACTTCATATAGTACTATTATCTTGTATAAACTGAAGAAGTCTTGTCACTACTGCTTGCCAATTTTCACACAGCCACCTTCAAATGTTTTATAACACAATCTTCTATCCCATTTAGCCCACATTCACATTCATTATAAAAGCCTAAGCAATGAAAGTCCTCTAATCTTTTAGAAACAGTGTAATAAAGTTCAGAACTCTAACAATGTATGTATCTGTTTTAGGATTCTAAGAGCAAGGTATAGATATAGATATAAGAACTTGAACTTGCTGAGTAGCCCAGGCTGACCTTGAACTCTCCATCCCCCATCTCAGTTTAGCAAGCGCTTGGATTACATATCTGTATATACATATATAGATATACTTAACTATACATATATATATATATATATATATATAGTTAAGTATATATAGATATACTTAACTTTCCTTTTTGAAACAGGGTCTTGCTATGTAGCTTAAGGTATCCTCAAGCTCACTATGTAGGCAAGCCCAGCCTCAAACTTGATATCCTCCTTCTCAGCCTTAACTTCTAATTACTATAAGGGACAATACTTGATGTCATAAACAAGTTCTTAATCCACAAAAGAAAATAAACTATTGAGGCCTAGTGTGGTGGTGCACATCTGTAATCCCAGCACTACGGAGGCTGAGGCAGGAGGATCACTGTGAGTTCAAGACCAGCCTGGACCACACAGCAAGACCCTACCTCAAAAAAGATTTTTGTTGCTCTTGTTTTCCTTAATGCACTCCCACATGCCATGCATGAGAATACCTATCAGTCCACCTCCTCACACTTAGTGTTATTACACTTTCGCCAGTGTGTAACTGTACATTGATATACTCATCTCCCTTTCCATAGTTATTGTCCTTTCCTATATTTATAGGCCATTTCAATTTCTTCTTTTGTGAAATATTCAAATCTTTACCATTTTTCTATTGGGCTATGTATATTTATCTTATTCATTATTAAAGTATTTTTATTCAGAACACTATTCCTTTATCAGTTACGTCACAAATATTTTTCTCACTTTACACTCTCTTCACTCTTTTAGTGTCTTGTCGTATTGTTATGGGAGGAGGTGTGGGTTGTTCTTTTTTCCAGTATTGGAAACTGAATCCAAGGCCTCATGCATGCTAGACAACCGCTCTACTACTACACTACATCCCTAGCCCCACCCATCCTGCTCTCTTTTTCAGGTTTGTCGGGAGCTTGTGATCTTCCTGTCTCAGCCTCTCAGGGATTGCAGGTGTGTGCCACCACACCCAGCTAGTGTCTTTTTGTGAACACAGTCGTGTGTGTGTGTGTGTGTGTGTGTGTGTCCCATACTGGAGGTGGAACTCAGGACCTTGCGCTTGCAAGGCAGGCGCAGCGCCTACTGAGCTATATTTCCAGCCCTCAAACTCTTTATCTTATGCTCTTTATTGTTTGTGATTTTTCCATCTTTGTGTTTAAGAAATTCTTTCCCCACATCTGTAATCCCAGCACTCTGAGGGGCTGAAGCAGGAGGATCACAATTTTGAGCCCAGCCTGGGCAATTTAGTGAGATCCTGTCTCCAAATAAATAAAAACTACCCTAGGGATGTACCTCAGTGTGAAGGTCCTGAGTTCAATCTCCAGTACCATCAGAAAAAAAAAAAATCTGTTTTTCATAGTTTCTTGTTCCATGCTGTTTGTGAGTTTTTCCTTTCTTTAAATAGAACAATCCTTAAAAAACAGAATAATTCTATTTATTCTATAATTTGGTTTTGATAATTTTGAATTCTATGGTGGCTCATCATCTCTGCTCATTCTTGTTCATGAATTTTTTTGTAGATTATTTTACGATGAAATGCTCATTTTCCTCAGAATTTTATTTATGAAAGTTCTTTGAACCTGTTATCCCAGAATTCAGGAGGCTGAGGCAGGAGGATCACTGCAAGTTCAAGGCCAGCCTGAACTACATAGTGAGACTCTGTCTCAAAAACACACAAAATAAAGAGACAAATAAAAAAGAAAGTTCTCTGAAGCCTGGAATAAAGTGAGTTTCCTTCAGAGAAATAAAAGCTAGCTTACTGCTCCAAATTCTTACTAGCCATTTCTTCCACTAAAGTATCTGAGAAACTCATTTTTACTTGCCTGGCTCCCAAGGGCCAGGAGAGGAGAATTCTTTCTAGGTCAACCTTTTTGTTTCTAGGTTTTGTGTTTGATGGGGGGGGGGGGGTTGTGTGTGTATTTTGGGACAGGGTCTCCCTGTTTAGTCCAGGCTGGTCTTAAACTTACCGTGTAGCCCAGGCTGGCCTCGAACTCACAGCCTCAGGCAGCCAAGTGCTGGGATCACAGGTGTGTGCCACCATGCTCAGCTAGGTCATCCTTTTGTCTGGGGTTGGTAAACGGCAGCCTCCACCTTGTTTTGACAATACATTTTTGCTTATTGTCTATGGCTGTTATTGTACTACAACAGCAAAGCTGAATAACTGAGACAAGGACAAAGTTGCCAGCAAAGCTTAAATTATTTACCATCTGGTTCTTTACATAAAATTTACTGGCTGGGTGTGGTGGCACATGCCTGTAATCCCAGTGCTAGGGAGGCTGAGGCAAGAGGATCACCACGAGTTTGAGTCTAGGCTGGGCTACATAGTGAGTTCAAGGCCAGCCTGAACTACACAGAGAGACTCTGTCTCAAAAAAAATGGGGGTGGGGTGGGGATTTAGCTCAGTGGTACTGTGCCGGCCTTACAAGTGCAAGGTGTTGAGTTTGATCCCCAGTACCAAAAAAAAACACCTTCTTTTACTGACTCCTAGCATAGTTCATTGGGATCCAGTGAACTCCTATACAACTTCCCAATTAGGTTCTGTCTCTGGCCTCCTATTCCATGAGACAGTGAAAACCAAAACTGATAGTAGGTTTGGCTAATGCCATTAGGGTGAAAATGAGCTAAGTGCTCTGCTTAACTCTGGTTTTCTTACCTCATTGTACTTTTTTTTTTAATTGTTGTTGTTTGTTTTGGTTTTGGTTTTTGAAGACAGGTTCTCACTGTGTAGTCCAGGCTGGCCTTGAACTCACTGTGTAGTCTGAGCTGCCCTGGAACTTGTGGTGATCCTCCTGCCTCAGTCTCCCTAGGGCTGGGATTACAGGCATGCACCACACCTGGCATTCACTGTACTTGTTCTGAAAATGCTTCACACTTCGTTAGTGGCCTGTCATTTCTTTAAAGATTGACATTTTTTTCTTTTCACATTTCCTGCAGAAGTCCTGTCATTTACAGCAAGAGGATTGATTAGTCCAAGTATTTATTATGCCATATTATTGGAAATTGAAAGGTTAATGGTTTTAAAAAATATTCTAGGACAATAGTAGTACCTTTGACTCCATTCAACCAAGTCAACAGGTTAAAAACACAGATACCAAAGCACATGGAGTGCTCTCAACTAGCTGACTACTACCTAGTATGCCTGGGCTTCTGCTCATCAGTTGCTGCATATCAAAGAATCATTCATGTTTGTACTCAAATATATTTATGCTAGTTATCTTTATTATTAATCATAGAATTAAATCACTACATATGAGTGTGAAAGAAATGAATACTGAAGATAAATATGACAATCAGGATTGAGGATTGAGAGGCGGGGGATATGAACAGACAATGTGTTAAGTGAACTGTTAATGCTTATTTCTTTTTGTGGCTAGTGGAGACACTGATGTTCCTTATATTCTTCTCTTTCTCTGTGTTTTTTTTTTAGTTTTGACATGTTGGGGTTCAAACTCAAGGCTCTGTACATGCTAGGCAAAGATTCTAGAACTAAGCTATACCCTTCTACACTTGTTATATTTTCTTAATCTTTTTCCTATGTCAAATATTTTATAATAAAATAAATTATGAGTAAATATTTCTACAAAAATCATAGGGGCTGGGGACTTAGCTCAGGGTTGCCACTGCCTGCCTCGCAAGTGCAAGGTCCCAAGTTCAATCCCAGGTACCAAAAAAAAATTTTTTTTAATTAAAAAAATAAAAATTATATTGAATGCTTGGGAAAGATATATTCAAAACAAGTTTTTAAAAAATTTTCCTTTTAGGTGTAAGAGAGAAATTCAAATAAAAGAAAATCATAAAAATTTGAGTTTATGATCAGATAACTGCTTGAGTGTCTTTAAATTTCTTGTAGTACTTTAGAATAAATTAAAATAATCATTATTAGTGTGCTTTAAAGAAGAAACTGCAAAATTCCAATCAGCTGATGCCTGTAATCTTAGTACTCAGGAGGCTGGGGTAGGGGGATCATGAGTTCAAGGCCAGAATTCGCCCCATAGCAAGACCATGTCTCAGAAACAAAACAAAAAATCTTCCAATCAGCTGCACCATACTCAACGGCCTTGCTCTAAAATCAGAAAGTTGGAAATGAACTAAGTACATGGTTATAGTATGTCTAACAATTTTAAGTTAAATACCTTCAGTCCCAATCATATTAGACAAGTGGCTTTCTAGTACACTATAATCTGTTAATTTATATTACCAAACAGTGCACTATACACTTTAGGGTATGATAAAATAATTATTTTCCCCAATTCTTTGAGTCTTCTTAGTTGGTTAATACAATAGTGGTGGCAGGCCAGGGACTAGCTCAGTAGTTCCGCCGCCTGCCTCGAAAGCGCAAGGTCCCAAGTTCAATCCCCAGTACCAAAAAACAAAACAAAACAATAGTGGTGGCACATGCCTATAATCCCAGTACTCTACAGAGGCTAAGGCAGGAGAATTACCTCTAGTTCAAGGCCAGTCTGGGCTATATAGTGAGATCCTGTCTAAAAACAAAAAACAAAAACAAAACATGACAGTAATGCTAACAGGACCCAGTTTTTCACTCCTATGTACTATGGCCTTATGCTATGGTTTAAAACTTGGTCCTCGGGGCCAGGGATTTAGCTCAGTGGTTTCACCCCTGCTGCTCAAGCACAAGAGCCCGAGTTCGATCCCCGGTACCAAAAAAACAAAAACAAAACAAAACAACAACAACAAAATATATATATACACATAAAACTTGGTCCTCTATAAACAGAAAGAAAAAGGTATGCTGGGAATGGTGATGCTTGTCTGTAATCTCAGCCACTCGGGGGTGTGTGGCAGGAGGATCATAAGAGGAAAGCCTTCCTGGGCAACTTACCAAAACCCCATCACAAAATAAAATTTTTAAAAAGGGCTAAGCATGTAGTTCAGTGGTAGAGCACTTGCCCAGCATGCATGAGGACCTGGGATCAATCCCCTGTACCACAAAAAAGAAAAAAGAAGAAGAGAAAATCAGGTGAAAGAATATAGATAAATATCAAAATGACAAGTTTCAAAACTATTTATATAATGTTGGTTAAGTAAAAAATGTCTAGAAAAGGGAAAGAAATAAACAATCGTTAACAGAAGAGAGTCAAAAAAATTCTTTTACAGTTTTCTGTATTTTCCAAATTTCCTCCAATTATAATGAAATGTTTCTTCAAATAAAACAAAACAAAACAGGGCCGGGGATTTAGCTCAGTGGTTCTGGCACCTGCCTCGAAAGCGCCAAGGTCCTGAATTCGATCCCCGGTACCAAAAACAAAACAAAACGAAACAAAACAAAACACAACTTCTAAGCCAGGTATGGTAGCACATACTAAGGTAGGAGGATTGCAAGTTCAAGCCCACCTCAGGCAACTTAGTGACTTAGCAAGACCCCATCTTAAAATTAAAAAAAAAAAAGAGCTGGGGTATAGCTCAGTGCAAAGGCCTGGGATTCAATCCCCAATATAGAAAAAAAAATTTTTTTAATTGTATGTCCTAATGACACAGTGATCTTTTTAATTTTATATTTATTGACATGAGTTTGGTAAAATTCATTACTTAAAGTCCTGAAAATAACTTTAGAAAACTAAAATTAACCTTTTCCAGAGATAATCTTTGAAGTACTAAAGAAAAGACTGCCATGCTGAAGATCCATTGTTTCTCCCTTCAATTTGTCCTCTGCGACATCAACAAGGGCAAGTTCATCCACCAAATCCTAAAATACATGAAAGTTCTGAGTAAAATGTTCCTATTTTAGTTTTAGGAGAACGAACATTTTCATATGACTATTTTATACTAAAAGAAGTCTCTCTCTTTTTTTTTTGGTACCAGGGATTGAACTCAGGACCTTGTGCTTTCGAGGCAGGCAGTGGAACCACTGAGCTAAATCCCCGGCCCGAAGTCTCATATTTTTAATTGTGAAGAATGATACTCACTTCCACCGCCTGCCTGGCAATCGCAAGGTCCTGAGTTCAATCCCTGGTACCAAAAAACAACAACAACAAAAAAGAATGATACTCACAAGTGCAAGGTCCTGAGTTCGATCCCCAGTACCAAAACAAAAAAACACTTAAAAATAGTTGCTGAATGTACCCAGTGACCAGAAGCCAAGGTAAGCAATAGGAGGTTGGAACAACTATTAATTGCTTTGATTTTATATAATTGTTAAGATTTTTTTAAAATTGTTTGAGACAGGGTCTCACCATGTGGTACAGGCTGGCCTTGAACTCACTATGTAGCCCGGGCTGGCCTCAAACTCATAGCAATCTTCCTGCCTCAACCTCCTGAATGCTGGGATTACAGGGATTCCCCTACCATGCCCAGCTTGTTAGAATTTTTTTAGAATTGGTTTGACCCACACACACACACAAAACCTCTATCCCATGTTCAGGTAACAGTTTAAAACCAATGAAAACCTATAAAGTTCTTTAAATGGATTTTATTATTTTTAACACCAAGACTAATTTCTTCTGTATCAGAGGACAAAGTCAACAGAATGAAAAGACACCTCACGAGGTGAAAATATTTGCAAATCATGTATCTGATAAGTTTACCAGGGAATGAACCTGGGTCCTTGAGCTTTTGAGGCAGGCGGCAGAACCACTGAGCTAAATCCCCAGCCCAGTAATTCTTTATATATACTGAATATTAAGAATTTATCAGAGGGCCGGGGATTTAGCTCAGTGGTTCTGCCGCCTGCCTCAAAAGCTCAAGGACCCAAGTTTGATCCCCAGTACCAAAAAAAAAAAAAAAAGAACTACTGCAACTCAACAACAACAAAGACAACTTGATTTTTTTTTATTGGGCAAAGGCCTCAGATATCTATTTCTCCAAAGATGAAATACAAATGGCCAATAAGCACAGGGAAAGATGCTCAGAAAACAAGATAGAAAAAGCAAAGGACTTCCATTGTTTTATTTTGTTTTGTTTTGTTTTTTGGTGCTGGGGATCGAACTCGGGTCCTTGCAAGCAGCAAAACCACTGAGCTAAATCCCCAGCGCCCCATTGTTATTTTTATCAAGTTTGGTACTTTTTGTTTTACAATGAGCACATATTTTTAAAAACATTAAGTACAGCTGAGTATGGTGGTACACACCTGTAATCCCGGAACATTGAAAGGCTAAGGCAGGAGAGTGGAAAGTTGAAGCCCAGGTTGGGCAATTTAGCAAGACACCATTTCAAAATGAAAATGAAAATAAATAAATAAATAAATAAATAAATAAATAAATAAATAAAGGGACCAGGGATGTACCTTAGGGCTAAGGCTCTGAGTTCAGTCCTCGGCACTGGTGGAAAAAATACGTGTAAATCCTTGACTTAAAAATATGACTTTCACCCATTACCCTTCAAGGAATGCACTGAATCATGCTGTATTAACAAAAATAATACCTCTCCTATGAGTAAATATAAATGGTTTAGCAAGTCAGCTCCAAATAAATGTTTCTTTTGTCAAAATCAAATGAGAGGGCTGGGGATTTAGCTCAGTGATTCTGGCGCCTGCATCACAAGCTCAAGGTCCCGAGTTCGATCCCCGGTACCAAAAAAAAATGAAATGAGAGTATTGCAGATAGGTAACTTAATTAGATATCTTGTAGGCAGTTAGACAGGGCCAGCCCAGGAGGAGCCAACATGGGAGACAATCAAGACACATTCACTGGGCCAGGGATATAACTCAGTGGCACAGCACCTGCGTGCTAAGCGAAAGGTCCTGAGTTCAATCCCCTGTACCGCCAAGAAAGAAAGAAAGAAAGAAAGAAAGAAAGAAAGAAAGAAAGAAAGAAAGAAAGAAAGACACATTCACTGAAGGCCAGCATTGTAAAAAGAGAAAAACTACACACCCTTGTGGTTCCCCTAGGTATAAATAGCAGTGATTGATATTCTAAATAGGTATCAATCACGTGGGTGGGGGGGTCAAGGTCTTAACCCAGCCTCTCCAGGAAATATCCCTGACCCCTACTCTTACTGAAAGTCCTCGTATGCTTGCTACAATCAATATTACTTGGGCGACTGTACTTGTAACCTTATGGGTTGGTCATGGTTTTGAACCACCTCATGCCCACCTTGTAAATTTCCATTGGGTCTTATAGTTTTGTCCCACTTTGTACCCGCCTCACCACGTGGTTTTGCTGTATAAAACATCTTTGAAGGCCGAGGATTTAGCTCAGTGGTTCCGCCGCCTGCCTCACAAGTGCAAGGGCCCAAGTTCTATCCCCGGTACCAAAAAAAAAAAAAAAAAATCTTTGAAAAGTGGGGTAAGCGGGCAACCCAATTTCTGGTCCCCCTTCTGTCTCTTAGGCAGAAGTTTTCTTTCTCCCAATAGATTTTTCCTACTCTTAACCTGTTGTTCCTAGAATTCATTGATTTTAGAGAACACGAACTCGCGTTTCAATTATCTAGTAGATTTGGGAGTTACATCCCTTCCCCCTATATTACCAGGACACATTTTTTGCTGTCAGGGGGTTAGTCCTGGGACCCTGAACTCAACATCTTGAAGACGCCCAAGTGTTTCCTTGGTTTCCAGCCACAGGATGGGCTTATCGCTTACCTTCAGTAAGATAGTAAACAGCACAAGCGATACCTACGGCACCAACTCCAGCTATGGTGATCTTACACTGGGAGCTTTTATCTTCTGCAACTAGATTTGCGATAAGCTGGTCCTTGAGAGATGACATTTTGAGAACCTGATAGGGATAATGCAGTTTCAATGGAATCAAACTCCCTAAATCGATCACCCCACAATTGGGATGCACCGACCTCACTGGAGATCTAAGGACTGCCTGTTGAGTTTGCAGAATGTAGGAGGCCAAAGAAAGAATTTCCTGGCCAAAGACTGCGGGAATAAAGCCAGGACCTGCGCGTCGGCAGGAGGGGCTGGAGCAGCCACGGGCTTTGTGATTTCTCCCTGCCCCAACCAGTTTTCACCCAGCACCAGGCGCTCAAAATACTTCGCTTGGCGCAACTCAGTAGAAATGGCTCGAAAAGCACAACGTACCATCTTTAAGGAAGTTAAGAAATAAAGATGCGACTCCACAAAACAACACTAACGACTGCTGAGGTGCGAACCAGACGACAGTTACACTGAGGGCCTGTCGCGCACGGGCGCCCTAACGCACGGCTGTGCTCGTCACGCGCAGGCTCCGCCCCCGGGCGTCTGCACAGCCGCGCTGGCCCGCGCTAGCATCCGGAGCTTTGGGAGCAGATGCCCAAAAGGCTCCCAAGTCCTGAAGGGACAGCGCTCGGTCGAGAAGGGTGACGCTGAAGATGGGCAGCTCGCTTGGACCGAGCCTCTGCCGCGCTCCTGGCCAAAACTAGCCTGACTTGCTGCGTTGTGAGAGGGCGTGCAGAATGAACTGGGGCCCAGGAGGAAAGGAATTTAAGGGTAGATGGGGAATAAGGTCTTACGTTTTGATGATGCACTTAGCATATCCTGTCCACACATTTATTCTCGACCCCTGTAACTTCAGGAATAAGCGTGGTGACAAAGGGTTAAAGCCCTCAACAACAAAATTTCTCTGGTGACACCATGACCTGCTGGGCAGTCATGGGGCAGGGCAGGAAGGCTGGCTAAACAGCACAAGACACAAATAAATGTAGGACCGATTCATCCTGCCCACCGAGCCTGGCCCATCTTCTCCCTCGTGTGCGTGTGTGTGTGTGTGTGTGTGTGTGTGTGTGTGTGTGTGTAGTAGATACCTGACAATGAAACTAAAGGAGCCTGTGAGGCTGGTCGTAGTGGCACGCGTCTGTAATCCCAGCACTCGGGAGTCTGAGGCAGGAGGATCCCATGAGTTCTATAGTAAGGCTAGCCTGAACTATATAGACACCCTCTCAAAAAAAAAAAAAGCCTGTGAGGCTGGAGTAAATGGGCTTATCAATTTGAAACTTTAATGTACAACTTTAGATACAGTACAGGTTTTTTTTCTTTTTTGGTACCGGGGATCGAACTTGGGTCCTTGCGGTTGCGCAGCAGGCAGTGAAACCACTGAGATAAATCCCCAGCCCTCAGTACAGGTATTCTTAAAAGATTAGCAGGAACCAGGGGTCCCAGAAAAAGCATTCCTGGGATATTTAGATTTGCTATGTAGACTCTCCCCACAATTTCAAATCCTCATAAAACCCCAACCTCTCACCCTGTGTGATTCCTCTCTTGGAAACTCACCCATTGTCCTTGAGAGTGGACTCTGATCTGAATAAACTCTTGTCTTTTCTTGTTCTGATCTTGGTAAAAAAAAAAAAAAAATTCTTTTACTGCCTACCTCACTGCCAGTGTTGAAATAAGTTTGAATTTTTCCAGAGAACAAGTTGGATGTGGTGGCGCATGCTTGTAATTCCAGCACTTGGGAGGCTGAGGCAGGAAGATCGCCATGAATTCAAGGCCAGTCTGGGCTACATAGTGAGTTCAAGGCCACCCTGGAGTACATAGCAAGACCTTGTTTTTTAAAAAAAAAAAAAAAAAAAAAATTTCCATTTGACTCCTTTTAAAAATTTGATCCAGGGCCGGGGATTTAGCTCAGTGGTTTCACCACCTGCTGCACAAGCACAAGGACCCGAGTTCGATCCCCAGTACCAAAAAAAATAATAATTTGATCTGCTTTCCATATAACAGCCTGTGGTGTTTGTGTAATGTAGTTCATATCATGCAATAACCCTGCTTAAAACCCTTCACTGGCTTGCATTATATTTAGAATAACCAATTTTTACAACTTTAAAAACCTTCAAGATTTGGCCTTGTTATATCCCTCCAGGCTTATCTCGAGACACTCACCACTTTGGACACCTCTTTCTTGGCTCACAATTTTCTGCTGTTGTCTATACTTGGAAAGCTCTTCCCCCAGACATTGAGGTTAAGTCCTCACTTTCAGGTTGGGCATACAGTAAATCATGCTTCCTGTAGCTTTCCTTTGTTAATGTGTCAACTACCACAACTCCTCTTATCTGTCCTATTCCTCCCCCACACTCCCACACCCCCTTTGGTCTTTTGAGACAGGGTCTCAATATGTAGTTAGGGCTGGCCTTGAACTTACTATGTAGTCCAGACTGGTCTCAGTGTTCTTTCTGCCTCAGCCTCCCTTACAGGCACGCACCTCTATACCTGGCTCTGTCCTCTGGTTTTTGTTGGGGGTTTTTTGGTACCAGAGATTGAATTCAGGACTTTGTGCTTGCAAAGCAGGCAGCAGAACCACTGAGGTAAAATCCCCAGCCCCTGTCCTGTTTCTCTTAAGGCACTTTTCTCAACCTACCAGCCCCAAGATATTCATGCCCTTCCTGCTCAGTGAACAGGAGTGGCACTTAGTATTGGTAAAACCATTTGCTTGTGTACTTCCACAGTAACCTCTTACACCGCTGGGCTGAGGGACACTGCTGGCCTAGAGGTCACCTACAAATTCAAGCTGTACACTTGCCTCAGGACCCTGGTGACAAAGGGAGGTTATTATCTTGGTAGGGACCAAACTCCTCCTAGGTGAAGAGAAATTGCTCTTCCCATCTGCCCAAGTACTCCAAGCAAACTTACCATTTTGCTTATTTGACTTAAGTGTTATAAACATAAAGTCAATTTGTCTTAATTTACTCCTGTATATTGCAACATCTACCATAGTACAGTAGGCACTAGGTAAAGAATTTTTTTTTTTTAATACTGGGGATCTTCTGCTTTCGAGGCAGGCTGTGGAACCACTGAGCTAAATCCCTGGCCCTAGGTAAAGAATTTTTTAAAAACACATCTTTGAAGTCTTTTTTCTCTTTGCTATTGGGATTTAAACCCGGGGCTTTCCCACTGAGCTGTAACCCCAGAGTTTATTGAGACAGAGCCTGGCTAAATTTATAAACTGCCTGGCTGGGCTTAAACTTTCAGTCCTGCCTCAGCCTCCTGGAGTGCTGAGATCTGTGGGCATTAATTGTACACTCTTAAGTGAATTTTATGGAATATAAATACTTTAATAATGCTTATCTTTGTCTATAGGATAACAAAATCCAAATCAAATTTTAGTAAATTGTCAAAACTACACTGACCATGGGGCTGGGGATTTAGCTCAGTGGTTCTGCCACCTGCCTCGCAAGCGCAAGGTCCCAAGTTCCACCTCTGTTCCAAAAAACAAAACAAAACTACACTGACCAATCTTGTCATTTTATATGGGAGGGGCAGTACAAATTTCATTTTCCTAACTAGCTCTCAAGAAAACTGGGAAAAAGACCTTGGAAGTGAAACAAATCTTTAGTTAACTTCTCTACAATTTTCAGGCCTGGATAGTGTCAATTACAAAAATATTCTGAGGGCTACCTAAAGAAAATTCTCCAGTAGAGAACCACCAGGACTACTTGGTTTAGAATTGCTAACCATAAGGGTCTCAAAAATTTGTCCCTTATAGAGGAAATGTAACACCCCTTAAGCTGGGATTTTTTTACATTCATATATGACTGATTCCTACAGGAGTTGTAGGATACTGTCGTGATTTTTATTTAAAATGTCCAAGCCTCTGGCCAGGGATTTAGCTCAGTGGTTCTGGAGCCTGGCTCAAAAGTGCAAGGTCCTGAGTATGATCCTAGGTACCCCCCCCAAAAAAGATACAGGTATTTTGTTCCAGTAATGGAACAGTGACTGATACAGGAACAAATTATGATAGTATCAATATCACCAAATTATTCATTATTGTGCAAAGAGTATCAAAACAACTCACTCAAGCTAGTTATGTCTTTAACAGCCCTAAAATACAAATTCATATTAAATGAATGTCTGCTCACTAGTAAAGTGTATGATTTAAAAACAAAATCACTGCAGTTGTCCAAGAAGAGCCTAATACTTCTCTAAAATGTAATGAGAAAATGGCACCTTTATGACTTAATATCTCTTTATTCACTTATTTATTTATTTAGGTACCAGGGATCGAACCCTGGTCCTTGCACTTGCACAGCAGGCAGCAAAACCACTGAGCTAAATCCCCGGCCCTATGACTTAATATCTCAATAAATTATAACAGAGTAGTCACTGTTCAAGGTTTATTTGGTGATGTAGTTGGTTTGACACTTGGTTACATCGTTCACAGGTAGATGTTTCCTTTTTACATTATATGGCACTGTACACTACTGATATATATATAATACACAAAATAAAATCCTTTAACAGTTATGCATAAGACATGCAGCATTGGATTTACACACTGAATGCCAGGCAGTGACCAACTGGGGAAAGAGACTAGGCTGGTTGGTGAAGTTACATAACAGAGCAACATACATCTGGCTCGAAGGGCAGCTGGAGCCTGTGCCATGTTGGCCGTGGTGTCTGAGATGGTGGGGCTGCTTTATACTAACCAGGTTAAGACTACACAAGTGCCATCCGGCATCAGGACAGAACTGTGGGGTTCTGTGAACCATTTCTATTCTTTTTTTTGGTACCAGGGATCAAACTCGGATCCTTGCGCTTGCGCAGCAAGCAGCGAAACCACTGAGCTAAATCCCTGGCCCACCACTTCTATTTCTAACTTGGGAAACCGATGTTTTTTCCAGGCCATCTTAATACTACTGCTTAAACTAGAGCAGGTAAAAAGGACAACATGCACAACCTCCAACTAAATCCTCTTGCAGCCCGACAGCAAAGTGATGTGACACTGGAAGACTTTAAAACTGCAGCTCTTTCTGGATTGCCCACAGGGTATCTGCACTCTTCTTCAGACAGGCCTCTTCCTCAGGAGTCAGGGTCACCTTGACAACATCTGAGATCCCATTTTGTCCCAAGACACAAGGAACACTAAGGAAGACGTCATCCTTTATTCCATAGAGACCCTGAGAACAACAACAAAAAATGTTCCAGATGTTCAATTGTGATACTGTGAGTAGTATAAAAGTCTTTAAAATAGCAACAAATAAAACAAAGTTGTTAAAATAACAAATGTCCTAGGTTCTTTTTTTGGTGTTTTGCTATTTGTTTTCTGGCCTTGCCCAGCTCAAGATGTCCTTTCTAAAAGAAAACCTTAACTATCACTATTATAGTGCTTTCCAATTTTTATCGCATAATAAATATTATGGCAACCCTGTGATTTCTATTTATCTCAAAATAACACACACACATACACACACATGAGCTTTTTAATCAAGTTATCAGCAATGTAGAGGACAGTAATCCTACAGGCCAATCATTTATTTTCAAAAGTAAGTTGTGAGTACATTAATTTATTTCACTTTACTGATTGTACATACACCAACCTTAATCATGGTAGAAATTGGATGCACTCTCCTGAGATTCTTCATTATACTTTCTGCCAAATCTCCCACAGACAGTCCGATGGCCCAGGATGTGTAGCCTTTGAGTTTGATCACTTCATAAGCACTGTAGAATGGGAAAGAGAAGGGTAAAGGCAAGGAATGACGCAAAAAGAGTAGGGCGAGAGAAACAAAAACAAAGCTTTTGCTGAATATACGTTCTATGGTAAATAACATATATCTAAGAGTAACTCTTGCGCATGTACACAGGACACTATGAATAAAGATGTCCTCATCAGTACTGTTAGTAATAGCAAAAATAAGGTAACAACTCCCATACTTTCCAACCAAATGGATAAACTGTGGCATATCTGCCAGGTGTCATGGCTCACACCTATAATCCCGGCATTCGGGAGGTTAAGGCAGGAGAATCCCGAGTTCAAGGATATCCCAAGCTACAGAAAAAGTGTTAGACCAGCCTGGACTATAGTGAGAACCTGTCTCGAAAAACTGTAAAGCCAGGCATGGTGACACATGCCTGTACAGTCCCAGAACTTGGGAGGATGAGGCAGGAGGATCACAAATTCAAGCTACTCTGTACTATTTAGTGAGACTCTTTCTCAAAAAACAAACAAAATTGTATTATATTGGTATAATGGACCACTGCATTAATTGCCAAAAAATGAGCCTAGAGTTGACTCCAACAAAAATGCCAGCTCTCAGAAAGTGTAGGGCCGGGGATTTAGCTCAGTGGCAACACACCTGCCTCGAAAGTGCAAGGTCCTGAGTTCAATCCCCAGTACCCGACCCCCAAAAAAGTGTAATATTGAATTATAAAAAGTAAATGTGGGCTGGGGATTTAGCTCAGTGGTTTCGCCACCTTCTGTGCAAGCACAAGGACCCAAGTTCGATCCCTGGTACCAAAAAAAAAAAAGTAAACCTGGGCACCCCAGTGTGGTGGCGTAAACCTATTAATTCCAGCACTGAGGAGGTTGAGGCAAGAGGATCGTCATAAGTTCCAGTCCTCAAAACAAGGAACAGCCAGGTGCAGAGGTACACTGTCCATAATACCAGCTACTTGGGAGGCTGATGAAGGATCCCAAGCTTGAGGCCAGACTCAAAGTTTCACTTAGTGAAACCATCTTAAAATAAAAAAGTTTTGAGACTAGAGCTCAGTGCAAGGCTCTGGGTTCAGTTCCCAGTACTGCAAATAAAACAAATGGAGAAGTAAATCCAGGGCCAGGGATTTAGCTCAGTGGTTCTGGCACCTGCCTCAAAAACAAAAGGTCCTGAGTTCCATCCCTAGAACCAAAAAAAAAAGTAAAACCAGGGCTGGAGGTGCAACTCAGTGGCAGAGCACTGGCCTAGCATGCTTAAGGCCCTGGATTTGATGCCCAGCACCTACAAAAAAACAGAAAAAAAAAAACCCAAAACCCCCAAACCAGAAAAGCTGAATCTAAGGTTGCATATAACATGCTTAATTCAAGATTATCTCAAGAGCATCAGGGAGATGGGGTGGGGGTGTGGGGGTGAGGGGGTGTGTTCTTACAGTATTTAACTCCATCAGACTAAATGCTTTGCCTAGACCAATCATGAAAATATATCATGAACCAACCAACAGTTATGATTTATTCAATTTACAGACCTGAGTTCCATACATGAACACTCAATTTAGAATAATACCAAATTTAAAGTTCCTTATTTCAACAATTTATATGTTATATTTTGTTTTTGGGGATAGGGTTTTGTTGTGTTCTCCAGGCTGGCCTCAAAAGTTGTGATCCTCCTTCCTTAGCCTCCAGTGCTGAGATTACAGGCACGTACCACAATGCCTGCTTTGACAATTTCTTCTTTTTTTGTTGTTGTTTTTTGAGGCAGGGTCTCCCTTTGTAGTTCAGGCTGGTCCTGAACTCACTACATAGCCCAGGCTGGCCTCAAACTCACAGTGATTCTCCTGCCTCAGCCTAAGTCCAACAATTTTTTTTTGTACTGGGGATCGAACTCAGGACCTTGCACTTATGAGGCAGGTGCCACTGAGCTAAATCCCTGGCCCAACAATTTCTAATAATTTTTTTGTTACTGGGGATCAAATGCAGGTCCTTGTACTTGCGGAGCAGGCAGCGGAACCACTGAGCTAAATTCCCGGCCCCAATTCCTAATAATTTATAATTGCTTATGTTCTTAGTACCTTGCTGAATCTTTTTTTTTTGGTACCAGGGATCAAACTCGGGACCTTGTGCTTCCAAGACAGGTGGCAGACCCACTCTGAGCTAAATCCCCAGCCCCTCCTTTCTGAATCTTGATCTTGCTTATGACTTTATTATCATCTGAATAAACAAGCTACTGTTTTATTGATTAAAGGTATAATAGGAATGTGGATTTAAGATTTTATTCCTGCCAGACACGGTGGCACACACTTATAATAAAACCAACACCTGGGAGGCTGAGGCAGGAGGATCGCTGTAGTAAATTCACAGCCAGCCTAGACAGCATAGCACAACTGTGTCTCAAAAAAACCAAAAATAGAAAAAATAAATTTTAAAAAAGATTTTATTCCTAAGTAAATGAATCATTGTTTTGTCTTAATTGATAACAATATAAGCAAACATATATCAGATTATATAGAATTATGGCATTAAAAAAAGATTTTAGGGCCTGGGATTTAGCTCAGTGGTTTCGCCGCCTGCCACACAAGCGCAGGGATCTGAGTTCGATCCCTGGTACCAAAAAAAAAAAATTTTAGGGCCAGGGATTTAGCTCAGTGGTTCTGGCGCCTGCCTCGAAAGCACAAGGTCCAGAGTTCAATCCCCAGTACCAAAAAAGGAAAAAAAAATTTTTAGCATTAATAAATGTCTGTAATTTTAAATATTTTTACCTATTCATGTGCTGTGTTTTATTTCTCTGGGATTTATTATCTACAGTTGCTGGGTTGTATGACACATTGATTTTTACTTTTTGAGGAACTGCCAAACTGCTTGAGAGTGGAGGGACCATTTTTCCTTCCCACCAACACGTAGGAGGGGTCCAGCATCTCCACATCCCTGCCAGCCCTGGATGCTATCTCCTCCCGTCCAGTACTGGGGATCAGACCTGCAGGGCCTCTACCACTCATCTGTGTCCCCAGCCCTTTTGAGACAAGGTTTCCTATGTTGTCCAAACAGGCCTCGAACCCTCCAGCTTCCCGCATTATACTCTCAAGTAGCTGGGAGGATAATGATCTGTATTTTTCTATCCATCTTTTTGTTAACTTTGTATGACCTAAAAAAAAGCTTAACAAAGCAAGTTTTCTATCAAGTACTCAAATGCAAATCATATTAAAATTTCAATCTTTCAGATAAAAATAAATGTGAATTTTCTATGTTGCAAATTATGAATCTATTACCTGTCAACCACCTGTTTGTGAACCTCTTTCCAATGCTCCTTATCCCCATCAGTTCCTAACTCGGGGTGCAGATTCTTCAGGGAGACGCCAGCAACATTTACTCCACTCCACACAGGCACTGGAAGGAACAGTACAGCATATGCTTATTTTCAATTCTCTTATTCGTAGAAGGGGGTCGGTCACCCCCTCTTTTGCTACTGTGTTTCCCTAAAGTAAGACCTAACTGGAAAATAAACCCTAGCTGCTCATTACCAGTGGATAGTGACGATTATACCTCACCATTCTTGCTCTATGGCTACTCTGTAATGGCAAGTATGACAAGGATAGGCTGGTTGGGGCTGGCATTTTTGATCTCTAGCTTTCAAAGCTCATTATTTTCTGGTTAGGTCTCATTTTCAGGGCAACATGGTAGATGGCCAAGACTATCCATAAGTGTCCTTTCTCACATTTATATTAGATTTCCATTTCTTAGGATATATGACACTAAGAATTGCATATTCTAACCCGTTTCCTAATCTACTGAAATATCTAGCCTCTGTATACCTGAGATACAAAGACAGTATACAAACATAAGAGGAATTTTCTTGACATAAGAGAACTCTGAGAACTTTGTGTGAATTGTGTCATCTTTCAACAGTGACTGTAACAGAATGTTTTCATGCATCCCATGCAGGCTGGCTGACCTTCAAGGCAGCAGTGGAAGCCAAGTAAGTATAAATAGCTGTGATAGATAGTAAAGGACGGATACAACACTAAAATTATGGTTTAACATGTCCAGAGGCTGCGGTGTAGCTCAGTGGTAGAGTGCGGTTATCAAACGTGAGGGCCTGGGTTCAATTTCTGGCACCAAAATAGCTAGCTAGCACGTGCAGTTATTTACTTCCATAAAGTAAAGTTGAAAAACAAAAGTAAACTTAATTTCATCCTCTACCCTCCTTGCCATAAAATGTCATATAAAGGGCTGGAGATTTAGCTCAGTGGTGCTGGAAAAAAAAAAGTCATTTAACATAGCTAAAAAATCTTAATTCTTAGCATATAATTACACAAATGGTAAATTTCAGGAAACCATTCTACCTTTCTTCATAGATATTCAATTTAGGGTCTCGTTTAATAATGAAATGCCTGGGAATTTGTTGCTATACAATCTCTTTGGGGGCTGGGGATTTAGCTCAGTGGTTTCTTCACCTGCTGCGCAAGCGCAAGGACTGGAGTTCAATCCCCGGTACCAAAACAACCACACACACACACACACAAAAACAAAAACAAACCCAACCATCTCTTTGGGACAGAGGGAAAATAACTCATGCTTACCACTGGAGTCTCCATGCTCCCCGAGGACCCATCCATGGCAGCTCAGGGGGTGAACCCCCAGCCTTTCCCCCATCAGGTAACGGAACCGGGCTGAATCCAGATTGCAGCCACTGCCAATCACACGGTTTTTGGGAAAGCCACTTATCTTCCAAGCCACATAGGTCAAGATATCCACTATGAAGAAAACATTTAGGTAAAAACTAGGTGACCCATTAGATAATTAGATACACAAGATATATGGCTCAGGGCTGGGCATGGTGGCACACGCCTGGCATCTCAGCAATCAGGAGGCTGAGGCAGGATTGCCATGAATTTGAAGCCAGCCTGAACTACACATGGGGAGAGCCTGTCTCAAAAGAAGAGATAGTTCTAAGTGATTTTGATACTGTGACTATTTGATGTTTTAATTAATATTAAATCTTTATACTGTTTATCTCAGGTCCATCTAGTATTTAAGAAGTATTTTATTGTTTCATGAAAATAAACTGTATACCAGTTAGAATATAATTATTCATACACTTTTAACTAAGATCTTGGGCAAGTAAGTTCCCACTATGTTCAGAGACATTATATTCCTTTCACATTTTAAAATTTACTATTTTACAGAAACACAAATCTACTCCCAGGAGGGAAATAAGAGTATGAGAAATGAATCAATAAATGTGTATACAAAATATAGCACATACTATCAGTTTTTCTATAGCTCATCTGTCTATGAAGTTAAAAAAATCTTACCTGGATTGGAAACAACAAGCAACTTGCAGTTTGGGCTGTACTTTACAACATTAGGAATGATGAACTTAAAGATGTTCACATTACGCTGGACCAAATTAAGACGGCTTTCTCCCTCTTGCTGACGTGCCCCAGCTGTGATAATAACCAGCTTAGAGTTTGCAGTTACATTATAGTCTAAAGGGAAACAAGGAACAGAGTAAAACCTTTAAAAGAATGCTTTACCTAGCCAGCAAAATTCATCCCATATATTCATATATAAATCCCCCTTCTGCCTTCCACATCTTTCCTTTAGGTTTTTTTTTTGGTACCGGGGATCGAACTCGGAACCTTGGGCTTTCGAGGCAGGCGGAGCAACCACTGAGCTAAATCCCCGGCCCCATACTCTTATTTTTACTTAGCTACCTAACTTGTCAGAGACTATCAATCCTCCCACCCCAACCAGACATCTTTATAACAAAAAATGTTTTGCTTCTGCACCCTGTGGCAGGACAGTTGAACCAAGGAGCTGCCTGTCAGGCGAGGGGCTGCATTTCAAGAGCCAAATAAATATTATTTGGGCTCATCTCCCAGTTTCCTGGTTGGTGCTAGTTAAGCATGAAAGAGCTAAGCCAAAAGTATGTGCTGAACAGGCTTATTTACCCTATTGTCAGCCTTGTGTTAGTGCTGACAGGAAGCGGGGATGGGTGGGTGTGGGTGTGTGTGTGTGTGTGTGTGTGTGTGTGGTAAAGCCACCTAAGGATCTGAAGCAAGACTAGGGATGTAGCTCAGTGGTAGAGCATTTGTCTAGCAGGCACAAGGCCTCAGTTCTATCCCCAGTAAAATTCATTCATTCATTAATTTAAAACTGAAGTAATGTGGTTAAATGTAGACCCAATGAGTTTTATTCATTATGTTCTAATTCAGATGGTTTCCACATCATGGACACTTTGGATTTCCATTTGAAACCATTTACTAGAGATTAAAACTTTGATATCCATAAGTACCAATCCAAAATTATTCTAAGGTTCTCTTATCCAGTATGTATATAAAAAATGTTTGAAGGGCTTAAGATTTCAAGCCTGATAATAATGTAAGACTAGCATTGACTATAATATAAACTTGCTGAAATCAACCTTTGCTAGAGACAATCTTTGGTGTTCTAAGGAAAAGGCTGCCGTGTTGGAGATCCATCATCTCTCCCTTCAATTTGTCTTCTATGACATCAACAAGAGCAAGTTCATCTGCCAAGTCCTAAAAGACATAAAATTTATAGTTAACTGTAGTAGTCGGGTGTGGTGGTGTATGCCTGTATTCCAGCACTTGGGAGGCTGAGGCAGGAGAATTGTCGGGAGTGGGGGCCAGCCTGGGCTACATAATGAGTTCAAGGTCAGCCTGAGCTACAGTGAGACCCTGCCTCAAAAAACCCCCCACAAAAAACAAACAAAAAAACCCTAGTAGTTTGCTATTTCTAGATTTTTAGCAGACAAAATTTATTTTTTGTCATAGAAGAGTTCAAATAGCTTCCAGTTATATAAAGCAGCTTTATTCATTATATCAAATTCAGTTTTATATACCAGTTTTAGGTTATTATTCATTAAGTAGGTGATAATGACCAATATTAAGACATGGAATTAAAAAGTGACAGTCCAGATTGTTCTCTGGTTATTTTCCATACATCCAAACACTAGTAGTTTTGCATCAAGCCTTGTACACTGCATTACAGTGGTGAGAAATATCATCGCAGTTCAATCTATAAAAGTTCATAGGTGCATCTGAGACCCAGAACACCAACAACTGCTTTAATGCAAATGGACTGTGATCTGTCTTTATCTGCAGATCTACCCCCAAATCATCTACAATGAGTGGTGTGGTAGATACTCAGATCCCATGCCTGAATCAGAGGCAAAGAAAGACCACAGGTGGTTCATGTGTGGGGGAAAACACATCAGTTTCTGTTCCAGTAGATAAAAAATAAGAGTTGTTGTACACCAAGTGGCCTCTCCTAAGAACACATACTGAGCAAGCTGTGTTGTTACAAGACCTCTGCATAGTTCATTTCTGCCTAGGACCCTTCTTACTTCAATCCAATTCTGTTTAGAATGCAGAATTCATCACTTCATCGTCCTATTAGAAATTCCAACTATGAAGTTAAAATGTTAATACAGAAAGCTGCCTCAATTACACTTTCGACACAGACCTGGCGTAAATGCTGTAAGTAGTGTTCTCTGTTCACAAGTTCTCTTTTTCAATTAAATCTTAGTTCCAAAACTGTTATGCAAAAGAGGGCCAAGGGATATGCTCATGAGAGCACAACATTCTCCACGCAGTATGATTTTATCATACATACTCACCATTTTCAATTTTTAAAATTAAAGAGTTTTGGCTCAAGCCAGGTGTGGTGGCACATGCCTGTAATCTCAGCACTTGTACTAGAGAGAGATAAGAGGATTTCGAGTTCCAGGCCATTCTGGACTAATAGTGAGATACTCCTTGTCTTTAAAAAAAAGTTCGGTCCTTTAAACCCATGGACCATTCTTTTCCATCAGTAGGCACGCTCATACAATGTATTTTAGGAACTGGTTGCCCAGCCCTTGAACACTTTTATTTCTTTTTTTTTAACACTTTTATTTCGATAGCCCTTTTGGTATATCAGTATGTTTCAAAGTGTTGGTTCACACAAATTATGGGAGTGTATGAGCCCAGCCTAGATCTTTTTTTTTTTTTTTTTTTGAGGCAGGGTCTCTCCCTTTGTAGTTCAGGCTGGTCGTGAACTCACTATGTAGCCCAGGCTGGCCTTGAACTCGAGGTGATCCTCCTGCCTCAGCCTCCAGAGTGCTGGGATCACAGGCGAGCACCACCATGCCCAGCCTAAATCTTTTCATATACAATGTAATAATACAATTCTTGGAGAAGGCAGAGGAGAAGGTAGGGCCGAGGGTGGTGAACTCTTACCTTCATTAAGATACTGATGGCGCAGGCCATGCCCACAGCACCAACCCCCACAACTGTAATCTTATTCTGGGGGACCTGCTCTTCCTTAAGGAGATTCACGATCAGCTGATCCTTGAGGCTGGCCATCTTGGACTTCGAACCAAAAGGAACCTACAGGGGGAAAACGTTCAGTGTCACTGCAATCTACTGAAATTAATGTTTATTATAGAGGTGCATTAGGAAAAAAAACTTCTTTTCTTTTCTTTTGGGTATTTGCCACTAAAATAGGCAAGAGATGACTTAAAGAGGGGAGGAAAACAAGGGCAGCTGAAACAGAGTATGGAGGCCTAATGCCAGGGTCTCGTCTGACCAGCCTCTTGGGATAAAGGACCTCACCTTGGCATGGAAAAATAATACTGATGTTTGAGTGTAAGTATAACTTCCTGAGGGCGCACTCATCTTGCTTTATTAACCCCAAGCAGGGCGGGCCTCTCCGCAAACAAGATTACAGTGTATTTGGCCTGCCCAGCTCCAAGCCCCTCAAAGAAGGCCCAAAAGCACCGCCAGAAGGCGACACCAACAGCCACGAGGTACAAAAACCCGAGCAAAGGAATGTGCTACAGGACCGGCGCATGCGCACACTAGCTTTTCCAATCTGCCCCCCCAGGGTTTAAGGTCCCGCCCAGATCAAGATCCGTGGGCGCCTCGCGCAAAGAACTTGAGCGCGTGCGCACTGCAGGGCACTGGAGAGCCGAGCACCAGTCCCAATGCGGCTCGTCAGAGGCTCGAGGCCAGACACTGAGGAAACCCCAACCCGGGAGCAGAGCATCAGGACCTGTCCTGAGCTATGGGTCACAGGAATCGAGCTCCTAGCTAGACTTTAGACTTTACTAGTGCCCTAAAGCAGACCGGAGCAACGTGAAAGCCAGCTGGCAGCTCCTGGCGGGTGGCCAGCGTCAGACTGCCAAGTCGCTATACCAGGAACCAGGGGCGGCGGTTAGCCAGCCGGGGAGGAGGGGCCTCGTACGACTTCTGCCCTGGTCCTGGTTGCAAAAGCGTGAAGCCCGCTAGGAGGAAATTTTGTCACTACAGGAAGTGCAGAAATGGCTGCGGAGGGAACGACGGCCGGAGACCCGAAGTTTAGAACAGACATTTGGTGGAATCCTCGAACTGCAGAGGCGAAAGGGGCCCTCTCCAGCCTGTTCCTCCAGCCCTGCAGCGCACAGGCTACATCTCCAAAGCATGGCGTGTAGCTGACACCATTCCAAAGAGCGAAAATCCGAGGACCTGCAGGCAGGCAGCCCAGAGTGGCCAAGCTGGAACCGGTCTCTCCTTACAAATCACTGCTATTTCTAGACAGCCCTGGAAGGCTTCTGCGGCCGGGGGTGGAGTGGGGGGTTCCCACTCCCCGCCTCCGCCACCAGTCACTGTGGCCTTAGAGACGCCCAACTCTCTCCCACCTCTAGGTTTCCCCATTTGGCAAATGCAGGGAATGGGACCGGGTGATCCTACTCCGATAGCCCTGTGAGATGCGGGCGGATTGCAACTCTGCCTGTTTCGTCTTTGCTGGCACCATGCTCAGCGCAAGCCCGACACCCAGCATCTTCATAATCTGCTGGATAGACGTCCCACCCCACCCCACGGAACCCAGCTCTCCATCGTCCCCCGGGAAAATGCCGCCCGCGCGGGGCTCTGAGGCTTCCCAGCTCCCAGGAACCCGTGCTGGGGCTTTGGCGGGCCCGGCCGCTCCGGGAACCCGACCGCGAGTTTGGCACAGGTGGCGAGTTTCGAGCCCGGAGCTGCCGCCACCCCCCGCGCCGCCGCCGTCTCCAGCATCCACCCGAGCTCTGGACCCCAAGTTGGGTGGAGCCACTTGCTCGGCCCCCAGCCTGGCCAAAGGTCACAAGCTGAGCGCCGCGGGCTCTGAGCCCACGGGTGGTGGTGCCACCGCCCAGGTCTCTGAACTCTGTTCCTGGGGATCGGCGCCTACACCCCGGGAGTGGGGACCCCTTCGCGCCCCGCCAGCCCAGCCCCAAGGAGCTCGCTCTCCCGCCCTCCCGCTCGGGCGCAGTGTGCGCCAGGCCCGACAGTACCGGGAGTACACGTTGGGCGGGCGTCGGGGCGCGTTACTGCAAAGCCCAGACTCGGCGGCAGCGGCTCAAGCACTCAGAGCAGCACGCGGGAGGGGCCTTAAATGGAACCGCGAGGCTGACGTCAAGGGGGAGCCAGGCGGACGTGCGGGAACCCACGTGTGGGCTGGGCCGGGGGCGGGCGCCCGGCCGGGCGGGGCCCTGGAGAGACCCGGGCGGCGCGCGCAGCCGGATGGCTGCGTAGCGGGTTGGGCCTTGTGCGCCCAGGCCTCTCCCGGATCCCCGAAGCCACGCGGCCCTGCATCCCGGAAGGCCCGAGCAGAGCTGCAAACCCGCCTGGGGCAGGCCCTCCCCTTGCTCTTATGTAAAGCGTGGCTGACCCTCAGGGAAGCTCTGATCTCTTTCTCCATCGCTGTTTTCCCAGCGGCTGGAACAGATTCTGGCACATAGATACTAGATAAATATTTGTTGATTGAAAAAAAAAAAAAAGCCTGGCACAGCATCAGTCTGTCTAGTCTGAAAGTCGGTCAATCTGACACTTTTTTGTCCAAGTCCAAACCTCCTAGTGGAGCCTTCGCCTCAGCCCTTGGCAGAGTGACTCAAGTCAAATTTACATCCACTCTGCCCCCCCCCACACACACTTCCCCACCCCGCGGTCATCTCGGGTCCCAGTCACACCCAGGAAGTTGGCTGTGTATTTTCTTTTTTGGTATCAGGGTTCGAACTCAGGACCTTGTGCTTGCGAGGCAGGCGCCAGAACCACTAAGCTAAATCCCTGGCCCTGGCTGTGTATTTTTTAATGTCCAGCACCCCCTGGAACCACTATTCTACCCTCTAAATCCATGAATTCACTTTTTTTGGGGGGGGGGTTAAAACTCTTTTTTTTTTTTTTTAACCTTTGGGCCTTTATTCACACCAGTTCCTGTACTTGGTCCGGCTTCGCAGTCCATCTCTTTAAACTGTATCCATCTCCCGTACTCCCCCACTAGGGTGGAAATGAAACATAGTTGGTGAGCCCTTGGCATTTCCTTAGTGACAAAAAAAGACCAAGTGGGTAGAAGGTTTGGAATTTTCGCCCCTACCCCCCAACATCGAGGAAAGCTGGTGATGGCTGGAGCTTTTGAGCTCTAGAAAAATTCTTGAAGAAGACTTAAGAGTTAGTTGCTGAGGGCTGGGTATGTACCTCAGTACCACTGCGCCTGCCTGGCAAGTGCAAGGTCCTGAGTTTGATCCCCAGTACTGCCTGGCTTTTGTATCCTTTGTAATTGGGGGGGGGGGGTACTGGGGATCAAACTCGGGACTTTGCGCTTGCGAGGCAGGCGCCAGAACCACTCAGCTAAATCCCCAGCCCTGTAATATTTTTTAATAATAAACCACTACACTGGAAGTGTGTCCAGGGGTAGGGCCCTTAGCAGGTAGAGCACAGGGCTCTAGGTTCTATCCTCAGCACAGTCAAAAGAAAAAATTTAAAATTAAAACAAAAATAGTAAAAGTAAGTATTTCCTTGGATCCTGTGAGCTGTCTGAGCAAATTACCAAACCTGAAGTAGGGTGCATAGGAGAGCCCCAGTTTCTAGCCATTTGGTCAGAAGCATGGGTCACAAACCTTTGACTTGTGGTTAGGGTCTGAAGGGTGGGGCCAGTCTTACATTAGCTCTGAGATCCACAGCTGTAGTTTTCTTGTTTCAAAGGGGGAATTAACCCCAACTCCAAAACAGCGGGCATCTCTCTAGCATATCCCATCATCACTCCAGGTGGCCCTGAGACCTGGACTGTCACCTCAGACACAGCTGGAGGAGTTGGGGATGGGTCACAGGGGCCCAGGACAGGGAGGATGGCAGTGGTGTCTCAAGATCACCAGTCTTTGCAACAGTGTCCTCATTCAGTCAGGGCTGGGCTCCTGCTTGCCTGTCAGATGTTGTCCATGCTGCTGGGAAGAGGCAGGACAGGCAGAGTGGAATCTGGCTGGGACAGGGGTCAGAATTTCCACCTGAGGCTGGGCAGCTCAGGGGTGACCTGTGTATTCACCAAGCAATGTCTTAATTTCCCTAAACCAAGGCACTGGACACAGCTTACTCGAGGGTTCCCTCTTAGGCACAACAGCTATTATTTGACTCCACGAATATGAATAAAGCAAATACCATTTGCTGAGCATCTGCTAACATGATAGGCAATCCTCATACTTGTCTTCACTTTTTGGGGGGCGGGGGAGTTTGAGACACAGTCTTGCTATGTAGTTCAGGCTGGCCTTGAACTTACTAGGTAGGCCAGGCTGGCAGGAGCCATAAATATTCCCATTTTCTATATGAGGAACCAACCTTCAGAGATGACTGACTTTGCCAAGATTGTACAGCTATGAAGTGATTTTGATTTGATTTTAACCCAGGCTGATACCAAAGTCTGATTTTCTCTCTACAAGATGTTATCCCATCTCCAGCCTCTGCATAAGGGACAGAATTATAGAGGCCCCAGGCCAGTCTCAGGCAAGTAAGAGGCCATGGGCACCAGAGGGTGTGTGTGAAGACATCCAGCTTCTTCTGCCTCAAGTTGGAGTTTATAAAATTGTTACCCCTGGTTCTCAAATTTTCAGATTCTTTTTTTGTTTGTTTGTTTTTTGTTTTGTTTTGTTTTATTTTTGGAAGGGTCTTGCTGTGCAGTTCAGGCTAGCTGGCCTGGAACTCTCTAGCCCAGGCTAGCCTTGAACATACTGCAGTACTCCTGCCTCAGCTTCCTGAGGGCTGGGATTACAGGTGTGCACCACCATGCCTGGACAGATTTTCAGATTCGAGTTGGAATTTACACCACTGTACTTCCTGCGTCTCCAGCTCACAGATGGCAGATCATGGGATTTCTCCACCTCCATAATTATCTGAGCCAATTCTTCGTGAGAACTCTTTGTGTCCTGCTGTTGGTTCTGCTTCTCTGGAGAAGCTTGACTAATGTGGTCCAAACAGAATTTTTGTACTAAAGGGAAAGCAGAGTATGGAGCTCACAGAACTGGTTCGGAGACACTGTTTCAAGGGCAAAGCAGACTTAACCTGCCCAAGTTCTTTGGATGTGGTCTTTTAAAAGAGAAAATCCTACAAAGAAGAGATTTTACATGAATTCTTTTTTTTTTTTTTTTTT